AAGTGGAAATTCCTCTTGAAGATGATCACTTGGTGATTGAAACACGTGTCGAGGTATTAAAAATAACGGTTTGGTGTTGATACAACCCAACACTAAACCGTTATTTTTAATACTCGACACGTGTTTCAATCACAAAGTCATCAACTCTAACACCAAACCGTTATTTTCAACACTCGACACGTGTTTCAATCACCAAGTGATCATCCTCAAGAGCGTTTAATCTCCCTGTTAAAGATGATCAGTTGGTGATGGAAACACATGTCGAGTGTTAAAAATAACGATTTGGTGTTGAGGTAGAACCCTAGTAATATTCATTACTACGACACGATAGGTTCCAAACAGTGCATAACAAATAATTTTAGGCTAGAGTTAGTTATTTGAGAGCTACAGTTTCATCTTTCACCTTATAAGGTGATGATACAAGCCTGCCTCATACATTTTGCAGTATTTCAAATAGTTCAAGTTGTATGTAAGAGATACATTGCAGGATATTAAATCAGAGTGTAAAGTATTTAAACTCTGGATGTGGTGTGGGCACTCAAGAATAATATGTTGAAGATCGCCGTATTGTTTGCATAGGCGTTCTGCTATTTCGACTAATCAGTTTCTGAATTTGAACACAGGACAATCGGATTGATTTGGTCTCAAATGATTTAATGTAGTGACATATTTTCTATGTATCTATTCATTTATCATTAAGTTCCAGTAATGATAAGAAACTAATACTTCCAGGTGAGAACGCTGGGCCCCGCTTTGGTAAGGAAAGAAAAAGTCAACAACGAAGACATAATCAAACCCATCGCAATACTCCCGAATGTCATCGAATCAGAACTGCTGCTCCGTTGCTCAAATAATAGCTTTTTCGATTGATACACGCATAAAAAACAATGAAAAGAAATGTGTGACTGTGTGAAAGTATAATGGAATGTAAAAATCAACCTATATGAACTCGTTGATGCAGAACTGCGAAGTTAGGATCCTATTGTTGAGTTATAGTGATATTATTTGACCTCTTTGATGAATTGCAAAATTAAGTCGTTCGACTGTAGGATAGAGTGGGGCTTCCAAATTATTTTATCGACAGTTCAAATGTGCTATAATCGAGCTTCAAGATATTTCATATTGAATATAGGTTGGGGTTAGGTCAGGTCTAAAGTGAGTGGGTCTATTCGACCCTCCACCGAAACCCGCAAGGGTTTATTCTGGCTCACACCTATTCACACTCGGCCAAATAAACCCAGCTTCTCAACGGAGCCGATTAGTTTGTATGGTGAGTGGTCTTTCAAAGAACCTGATTCGGTCCCCAGCGGGGCAGGCACAAAGTAAATGCTCTGCATATGATGCAGACTTGGACCTAGGAAAAGATGACCAAAACGTTTACTATCAATCACTATCAAATAAGAAGAAAAACATCACATCAACATTATTCACATTTTGAAAATGTATCAATAGTTTTACACGTACACGTACAAAATAAAAGATTATAAACGATCAACAAATGTACCAATTTAAAGAAAAGGAAATAGAAATAAAAATTGTTGGAAACTATAGACCAGTAAGCAAACTTTCTGCTATACCAAAATTATTTGAACAACTCTTAGCGACTTCTAGATCTTTTTATTCTGAAAACTTAATAATTGAACAACAATACGGTTTTGCAGGTGGAAAATCAACAGTAACTAACATACTACTATGTCAAAACGATATTGGCGGTGCACCAGAGATTTAGTTTATTGCATAAAAGACCGCGGTCTGGGGTATCAAAATCTTTACATAAGTCTAGTAGAACTAGACATGTGATATTTTTATCAGTTGTTTTGAGAATATCATCAGTTATAGAGAGGAGAGCAGAAGTAGTACTATGTTGAGAACGAAACACAGACTGAACGCTAGTTATGCTATTGTAAAAACTTACAAATTCCATCATCTGATCTTTGAGAAGCAGTTCAAGCTTTTTAGACAAGGAAGGTAATATACTAATGGGCCTAAGGTCAGAATAATGTGCCAGAGAGTTACACTTGGCCAAGGGAATCACAAATGCATGTTTCCAAAGGCTTTCTACTTCTCTTTATAAAAAAACAACTACTTCCCCGGGTAATACCACGCTGGATATTGAATTATATCCAACAGACACTTATGGGACTTGACCACTGCATGGTCTACCCCGTACATAATATTTGTTGACTTAGGATGCAGTTTTATAAGAGAATAAAATGCTTTCATTGTATAGAAAAATATCTCTGCATATACATTATGTGAAGTGTACCATTACAAATGACACATAGTGATTATATTTGAAGATATTCTACATCTAATGATAGATAATTATTATTACACCACAATTCATCACTACCGAATAATTTAATACATTACTATAAAAAAAAGATTCTATCAACATCATTATTGAGGAAACAAGCGGACTGGACGAGTATAGTTTTCAAGTAATTGTTTATTTTAGATTCAAATGTATGTAAGCTTTTGCTATTTCTTATGTCTTGCAGTAACATGTTGAATTGATGAAGGCCCTCATAAAATAATTATGAGTACTGCTACGATAATCAACGAATTCTTTGAAATATGACGGTAACATATTATTGATGATTTTGAAGATGAATACAAACGGTGACCTGTAAAATCCATCTCGAACTGATAACCACTGCAATTGATCAAGCATAACTGCTTCAATAGTATACATTTCAAAGCTGGATTAGGTCAAATTTGAGTGGGTCTCTCGACCCTCCACCATTTCAAAGTACTTCTCATACTTCTATTCTGTAATTTTTGCAATTTATGTATTTGACTTTGATTCAAACCATACAACAATGAGCTGTAAAAGTCAACATGAGCTTGTATACAGTGTGACCCATTTTTAATGGAAACACCCCCCTAAAATTTGAAGTTGTAAACCGATTTTAATAATTTTTTTTTTGAAATGTCAAGTACTGAAAGGTCTACCTTGGGACAAAATTTGAAATGTTTATTAAAGTTTCAGGGCATACTACGATATTTTTTCTTAGTCGAAAATCGG